ATATATTTCAGATGTTTATTTTGTTTAATTTTGATGATTACAAATGACAACAAATGAAAATCTCAAATTCATCATATCAGAAAATTAGAATATTGTGAAAAGGTTCAAAATTGATGGCCCCTGGTGCCACACTCTAATCAGCTAATTAACTCAAACCACCTGCAAAAGCCTTTAAATGGTCTTTCAGTCTAGTTCTATAGGCTACACAATCATGGGGAAGACTGCTGACTTGACAGTTGTCCAAAAGACGACCATCGACACCTTGCACAAGGAGGGCAAGACACAAAAGGTCATCGCTAAAGAGGCTGGCTGTTCACAGAGCTCAGTGTCCAAGCACATTAATAGAGAGGCGAAGGGAAGGAAAAGATGTGGTCGAAAAAAGTGTACAAGCAAGAGAGATAACCGCACCCTGGAGAGGATTGTGAAACAAAACCCATTCAAAAATGTGGGGGAGATTCACAAAGAGTGGACTGCAGCTGGAGTGAGTGCTTCAAGAACCACCACACACAGACGTATGAAAGACATGGGTTTCTGCTGTCGCATTCCTTGTGTCAAGCCACTCTTGAACCACAGACAGTGTCAGAAGCGTCTTGCCTGGGCTAAAGAGAAACAGGACTGGACTGCTGGTGAGTGGTCCAAAGTCATGTTCTCTGATGAAAGTAAATTTTGCATTTCCTTTGGAAATCAAGGTCCCAGAGTCTGGAGGAAAAGAAGAGAGGCACTTCATCCACGTTGCTTGAAGTCCAGTGTAAAGTTTCCACAGTCAGTGATGGTTTGGGGTGCCATGTCATCTGCTGGTGTTGGTCCATTGTGTTTTCTGAGGTCCAGGGTCAACGCAGCCACATACCAGGAAGTTTTAGAGCACTTCATGCTTCCTGCAGCTGACCAACTTTTTGGAGATGCAGATTTCATTTTCCAACAGGACTTGGCACCTGCACACAGTGCCAAAGCTACCAGTACCTGGTTGAAGGACCATGGTATCCCTGTTCTTAATTGGCCAGCAAACTCTCCTGACCTTAACCCCATAGAAAATCTATGGGGTATTGTGAAGAAGAAGATGCAATACACCAGACCCAACAATTCAGAAGAGCTAAAAGCCACTATTAGAGCAACCTGGGCTATCATAACACCTGAGCAGTGCCACAGACTGATCGACTCCATGCCACGCCGCATTGCTGCAGTAATACAGGCCAAAGGAGGCCCAACTAAATACTGAGTGCTGTACATGCTCATACTTTTCATGTTCATACTTTTCAGTTGGCCAACATTTCTATAAATCCTTTGTTTTTATTGGTCTTCAGTAATATTCTAATTTTCTGATATGATGAATTTGAGATTTTCATTTGTTGTCATTTGTAATCATCAAAATTAAACAAAATAAACATCTGAAATATATGAGTTTGTATGTAATGTATGAATATAATATACAAGTTTCACTTTTTAAATGGAATTACTGAAATCAATCTACTTTTTCATGATATTCTAATTTTATGACCAGCACCTGTAAATGAGTATTTTTTGCTTAAATTAAGTGCATTTTTTCTTGAATTGGGGAGGTAATTGATATACTTTGCCAATGGAACAAGACAATTTACATTTAAAATAAGAAAAAAAAAATTGCTTTGTCTTATTTCAAGTGCATAGTATATAATTCTCTTGTTTTAGGAGTAAAAATACTAATTCCATTGGCAAATCATCTTATTTATCTACTCAAATTAAGGGCAAGTACACTCAATTTAACAATTTTTTTACTTAATTCTAAATGGTTTTTGCAGTGTATAAGGTATCGCCATATTAAGTGTTAAGAGATTCTAGATTAAAATCTCTGTTTAGTTTCAGATGGATGCCAGTTAAAGCAATGGGTTCCTGTTGGGTCTGTTTGACCTGATCAGAAGCAAAATGATTCCTCAGATCTAAATCCTGCAGAAAACCAGGGGACTGATCTGAAAAATGCAGGGAACCATCCAGGTCAGAAGTTATGATGCAGCAATTAATCCAAAAGACCCCACGATACTTAAACTCCTCAACTAGGGGCAGCACATACTCCCCCACCTGGAGCAAGGAAACCTCTAAATCCTGCAGGACAGCGGCCCTCCATGACAGACTTTGGGGATGCCTGCTGCACTGCAAAAACGATCTAGAAATAAGTACAAATTTCATAAATTAAGTATAATCGCCCTTAATTTGAGTAGGTTAATTAGATAGTTTGCCAATTGAATGAGTATTTATATTATAGCAATATAATTAGATAAAATGCACTTGAAATTAGACAATCCAATTGTGTTTTTTCTTATTTTAAATGTAAATTGTCTTGTTCCATTAGCAAAATGTCTCTTTTACCTCCTTAATCCAAGAACAAATGCACTTATTTTTAGAAAAAAATGACTTGAGATTTCGACTTTTTTCCCCAGTGTTGGGTTAAGGAGGCTGAGAGATAGCTGGAGAATAACAATAACCTAACTTTATTTCATACGTTTTTCTTTTTTTATTCTAAAGACCCAAAATCTTATAAAAATAAAAGTCACAGAATCAATAAAGGAAAAAAAAAAAAAAAACCCTGAAACATATTTCTTTTAATTTAATTCAAAATAAATACTAACACGGCAGCGCAAGTCCACTACCGGGTTCTTGCCCTAAAGTTTTGGTAAGAAAACAAAGAAGCAAATGATCCCAAAATAAGAACCAAAAAGAATAAAGAGACTTCAGTTAATTCATCATCACCTTTCAGAGACTTTCAAGAGGTGCCTGTTTTTCTTCATTTTTTTTCTTTTTTACAACATACAAGATAACACTGTGTAGAATGACAAATATAAATAAAACAAACACTACGGTACACAAACTGGGAAAGAAGGGAGCGAGGATCGGTGAGTTGCAACAACCTGATCAAACCACCGTTGTTAAAAAAAAAACAAAACAAAACGGAAAACAAAAAGCCAGCCATGGTCCCACTTTCAGCATCTTTAGACGGTGAAAGAAAACGGAAGCTGACAGTTCAGTGCAGACTCCATGGGTACAGTGATGTCCTCCAAGGGTTCAGGAGCCCGGGAAGGCGGTGGGGCTCGTCTCCATGGAAACCCCCTCCAGGTGTGACAGGAAGTAAATTCATTTGTAAAAATTAGTGGTTAAACACTGTTCTTAAATAATAAGTAAATTCTAAATGTATTTTTTTTCAGTCGTTGCATTTTTCACCTTGTCTGAATGAACAGAAAAATAAAAAAGATAAAGGGAAAAAAAAGCCATTGCATATGTACATCAAGAAGTTTGGAGACATTTTTTCTGGCAGTCATCACAGTCTTGGTGTTTGAGTGTCTCGCGGCTCAGTTTTTCTTGTTATACGTGATTCATTGAAACAGATTTGTACATGTGTGTAAATAAACCTCTTATAATACTGACAGCACAGATGGACCAGGACCCCCCCCCCCCCCTGTTGTTTCCTAATGCATCCGTATGATAAACTTTACTTTCTTTACACCTTTGATTTCTATTAACATGTGTATATACGTCTCCTCTTGGTTAAAACTGAAAACTAATGTGGTCGGCTCAGAGTTCCTGCAGAAAACCAAAGCTTGCAGATGCTTTCGACATCCCTGCTCCTTTGAATCACTTCCTTTATGGGCGTTGCAGGAACCCTGATCATACTGGCAGTATTCTCCACGGATAGATCGGATGTGGTGTTTTTAGAGTCAATTAAGACATGGAAAACCTGTTAGCAAACATAAAGGTGGAAACTATTTTCAAATTAACCACCTTTTAGTGCAACGGGATAAATAGCCGGGATCAATTGCTAACCCTCTAATGCTTCCTTCTATTCATCCCACAGATCCTCTTAGATTCTTTTCTAGCGGCCGAAAAGGAAAGAAGTAAAATTTCAGTTTAAATTTCTGGGTTGATGTAGATCTTTTTTTTTGCTGCTGACAGAACCGATGGTGACTCATGTTTTACTAACCGTAAGAGCTGGCTTTAATGATGCCTCCAGCTTATGGAGGAGAAACCCACAGCATCACAGATCCTCTACTGTACTTAACTGTATTGTTCTCCCAGGTATTTGTGGACCGATTCATATCAAACACTCCTGCAGTGTTTTTTGCTGAAAAGCCACGAGGATGCTTTCTAAGAGTCGTCATGGAGACACAGACCTCAAGCTGCATGTGGCTCCTTATCCAGTAGCCAAAAGAAACTTGACTTCTTGTTTCGACATAGTGATGCCAAAAGGAAAAAGTCCTGAAGAACAAATGAGGAGTTCCACGAGACTGACTAACCTAAACGCAACAAAAAGTTGCCAGTAATTGTTTGAACTGGGATCCCAGGCTTACATGGGATCCCCCCCACAAGAATTAGCAGATAAAAAGTTAGATTTCTTAAATTCTTCATTTAGCGTTATAATAGAGCCAATAATTTAGTGAACGTGTGTAGTTGGTTAGCATCAAACGATTCAGGAAAAAACTCAATTCTACTGTCTGCACTAGAAAACTTACGGAGCTCATAAAGGGACATGGAGGGAAAAAATAAAGTTTTGCGAGATCCTGCAAAACTTTTGCGAGATCCCGCAAAAAATAAACTATTGCGGGATCTCGCAAAAGTTTATTTTTTGCGAGACCCTGCAATACTTTTGCGAGATCTCACAAAAAATAAACTATTGCGGGATCTCGCAAAATTATTGCGGGATCTCGCAAAATTATTGCGGGATCTCGCAAAAGTATTGCCGGATCCCGCAAAAGTACTGCGGGATCTCGCAAAATTATTGCGGGATCTCGCAAAAGTATTGTGGGATCTCGCAAAAGTTCTTTTTTCTCCCTCCATGTCCCTTTAGGGCCTCCGTAAAAACTAATCCTTCATCGAGCGGCTGTTATTTTTTTCTTAGATTAAGTCTCTACATGAAAATCAATAGAAAATGTTATAAAACAGTGCTGTTGTATTTTAGCAGAGGTGATAATAGTTGATTTTATTGGTTAAAATAAGGCCTGTTGGATTTTACCAACATTTCTGTTTTATTTTTTGTGGAACTGTGGAAATTTAACTAAAGTTTCACTCTTGGCACAAAATCTGATTCCGGATCCTCGAGGAAGCACAGCTAATTTATTATTTCTTGTCAGATTAACTTCTCAGCTCAGACCACATATCCAGGCATGATTAGAGGAACGTAAGCCAATCAGAGGAAGGAAAAACGATCAGATTTTAACCAATTAAATCCAGGGATAGTTGACGAGACCACAGAACAACCTGAACAACCTGGCAGGGTTTGGGACGTCTCACAAAGACACACAGGAGTGAAACCATCAGAGGTCTCTGTGCAAACTGCTGAGCTCCCCCTGCTGGTGAGCCTGGAACCCTGCACCCAAAAACACCAAATCTGATTTATCCTGGAGTTAACCACCAACGCCAGTCTGACCTGAGGCAGGAAATGCCTCTGTTTGTAGTGTTAGCGTATGCTATGACAGCGTCTGTTTGCCACATACATACATACATACAGCTCAGGCATACTTTAAACTAGGATTCCCTGTGGGAACAGTTATTCCCCTTGTCTTAGAGCAAAGACGAGCAAACAGAAGAGGAGGAGTGCGAAGCAGAGATAGAGTGTGGCTGTGGAAAGCTGGAGCGCTTAGCTGAGTCTGAACCTGCTTGTGCTCTGTAGCGCCTGAGTGAGCTGTGCGGCAGTTTAGTGTTTCAGAAAAAGGAACCATAAAGTCGATCTGATACGGTAAAACAGTAGCGACGCTGCAGCCATGAAGGAAACGGTACAGACTCATTTCTTATTTCTCAGCTGATTTTCTTTGCCATGGCATTAGGAAGGTGTGCCACCATGACAAAACAAACAGATGTTTTTGTTTTCCTTTTGAAATGAGTGAACCTGGAGCCATGCGCTTATCCCCAAATAAAGGGCGACAACCCTCCCCCCTCCGGACCCAAAATCCGGCTGCCCTCTCCCGAAAGAAAAAAAACTAAACAAACAGACAACAGCAAAACCACCCTGTCTGCATGATACAAAACATCTGCACACGTAAGGCAACATTTTTGGTTTTTTGTTCCCTAAAACGGCTCTTCGAAACCAAGTGCAAAAAACATCAAAAAAAAAAAAAAAAAAAAAAAAATGGGCAGAAACGACAAACATAAAGATCATCGCAAAGATCATGGGTTCAACAACTTAATACTGGTGGAGAGAGAAAATAAAAAATAAATAACAAAAACATTGCCTTCTGCAGTAAATAGCGCTGAAGATGTAGGAGACTTTTTTTTTTTTTTTTTTTTAGTGTGGGGAGACCAGCTTGAGTCTATCCCACTGTGCAAAAACCTCTTTTAAAGTCCCTAAAAAGACTTCTCCCCCGCTGTGACGAGGCAGACGAGGAGAAAGAGGGGAGACTGGTATTTTCTTTTTCCTAGAATGGCTACGTGTTTTCCTCAAAATGGCCACGAATGGGGACGACGGTGGCTGACTGGGACCGAGCGCTCACTCCCGCCCGCTGGCTGAGTAGGAGAACTGTGGGAAATGAGGCCGTCGTTCGTTGTCTGCTGCGTCCATCCCGTCCTCGTCATCTGAAAGCACAGGAGGCATGAGCCGCTTCATCCCAGTTAAACATGCTACTGCATAAACTTGTTCTCAGAACTTTCTGACCCACATGTATTACAGTGCTGTAAAAGTGAATGCACTAAAAATTGAATTGAGCAGGTAAGTGAGAGACTTTGCCAATGGACATATACCCCATTTACACTACCCTTGAGTAAAAGTGAAAGCAAATTCAATACTTTTTCCTTTTTTGTTGCATTTACTCACAATTTTCCACAAAATCTACATCATCGACTCAACGCTTGTCCCACTTATTTATCGACAATAGAAGTTAGATCTGTTAGGAAGTCGTTTCTGATGTGAAAGCTCTTTTTGTCATGTTGCGGTACGCCTAAAACAGCCTTAAGGCAAAGTTCTCATGTGAATGAATGGACAACAGAAATCGCAAGGATTTTATATAAAAGAGAAAACAAAAAAGTGCTCAACTGTCCCTTCAAATGTTCTCGCAATAAAAGTCGAGTTTCTTTGTCGAAGGCAAAAATGACTAAAGAGCTCACCGTGTTTGGTGTGATGATCCGTGAGTGTCTCTCACTTGTAAAAAACATGTATAAGCATTTGTTTTCTATCACAGTATTATTGTACAGTCCAGCTTGTATAATTTACAGGTAAAGCATGCATTTTAAACTTTTTTTAAATCCAAACGATAAACTGTGTACATATATACAGAAATGTAGACAGTAATTAGGTTTGCAGTTAAACTCTAATAGCATGATAGGTAGTGGGGTTTAGTAAGTATGTACAGGCTGTATGATGAATCTTTGAGGGGAAACACTTGAAAAATCACCTGATATTAGACTTTGTGCTAAAGATAAGCTCTGCAATGCATTTTTTGTGCCTTTTATATCAATGTATGTAATCTAGACAATCTTGAAAAAGCTTGTGTACAACCAAAATGAAAATAAAACGGTTCTGGAGCAAATGGATTTGTTGATGTCAGTTTTTTTAAAGTCACTTATATTAATAAAAGGATCTTTAGATTTCAGAATGTGATTCTACAAAAATAAAAACACCAGCAATTGGCAGGTACATTCACTTTACCCCATTTACACTACCCTGGAAAAACTGTGTCGAGACCGGTCCGAGCTCAGTAACTGAGATAACTTATCGTGTGTAAATGGAAAGCAAACTGAACTGAACCGAGCTAGACGCAACCAAACCGAGCTAACTGCAGACCAGTTCCAGAGGTGGGCTTTTTTTTTCCCTGGCTCGGTTCTCTGATAACAAGAGCGCATGAGCAGAACACGTCATCTCCGTCTGGCTGCACATCGCGATTCACACTCCATTCCAGTAGTTGGCGGTAACGCCCCTCCAGAAGTTGCTTGCCAACCAACACAAAACAGAACAAGAACAACAACTGCCCACCTTGGTTGTAACGGGTGGTTATTTGAGTCACTGTTGCCCTTCTATCAGCTCGAACCAGTCTGGCCATTCTCCTCTGACCTCTGGCATCAACAAGGCATTGACTATAGGTTTGCTGATCTGATAGAACACCGGCTCCTGAGAGGGAACATCTATTAAACGTGTGTGAAAGCGTGTTCAAGCCCATTTCTCCTCATGCACGCTGTTTAAAAGCGGCTGTTTGTGTCCCTCATACAAGCTGACTTTCCAAAAGAAGATTTGCAATTTTTCCACAATGTTAGACTCCCCAGCTGTAAGTGGAAAAGGGGACGAGCACGTAGGACGGCCTTTCGTAAACATATCAACAGACTGACTTACAAATAGGAGGACCGCTTATTTAGATGATCCACCCAGAAAAAGAACATCCTGCACTTTACCTTTAAAGGTTAAGATTAGTGCTGTCAAAATTATCGCGTTATTAACGCGTTAACGCGAGGCCATTTTAACGGCGATAATTTTTTTAACGTGAGATTAACGCTATGTGGTTTTATGGTACAATTTTCCAAGTACATCCCGCTGCAGCCTGCGGGAAGGCGGGGCTATTTTCCCCCAGTCTATGCATTTCTCATAGGCTTCAAGAGCGGAGCTCCTCAAGGGAAAAAGACGCTCATACACTGGGTAGCGCTAGTGCCTTTTCTTTAAGCCCCACCACTAACAAACAAGTTGAGTGTCTGGTAACTAGTAGCAACCTGAAATACGCTGAGAAAACAGATTACTGAGGTGAAATGGAATCTCGTAGCAGCACTCTTGCCGTCTGTGTACGCAACAGGTCGTGTGTGTCTGTGTGTGGGTGAGTGGGTGTGTGTGTGTTCTCATTTTTGTTAAGAGGCTGAAAAGTAACTTTCTAGAGCATAGACTACCTCCATCTAGTGATGTCGGTCTATTGATTTTGATGTATTGATTGAAAATTGTTCATTATTACCTTGGTTAATTAACATCTAATGTTAACTCTACTACATTTTATAGCAGTAGGGTAAAATGCTTGTCTTTGTTCAAAAGACTGTATTAACTGTAAAGACTGTCATTTACATCAGCCTGTTTTCAGGGCCTTTTTTTTTGGCTACATATTTGTTATTTTTTGCTACATGCCTCCCCATCTTCTTGCCATATGTTTCTATGGCATAAATCAGTATCTGTGACCTGTTTTCATTTAAAAAAAAGAACATTGGCACAAACCTAGCCTGTATGTATTTTTTTGTATGTCATCGAGAGTATTTAAATGATTTTCAATCAGGAAAAAAATGTGCGATTAAAATGCGATTAATCGCGAGTTAACTCAGGCATTGATGCGATTAATCGCGATTAAAAAATTTTATCGATTGACAGCACTAGTTAAGATACTGCAGAAACCCCACATTCATATCTTCAGGTAACACAGAGTACATGTCAGACTTAATAATACTACTTCTGTGATAGTTTCAAGGTGTTGCTTCATTGTATATCTCCTACCATGTCTTTCGGTTGTGCTGTTCTTTTTTCATCTCGTTGCAGGTGATGAAGCAGACTGAAAATGTTTTGTCATTGTCTCCTTTCTATCTCTTCTTTCTTTCATCTTTTTTTTTTCTTTTTTCCTTTTTTCACTTCTGTTTTTCTGCTCTATTTACATTGCAGTGTCCATATAAACTAAAACTCCCTGCATAATTATAATAAAGCAATTTATATGCATGAAACAAGTGGAGCAATATGGCAATTGCCATACCGCTACACTTGTGAAAGTAAAATCTGTTGGGCTCTTTTTGGCATCAAGACAATTATTCTTATTGCCACATTGCCAGACAGGACACTGTAAAAAAAAAAAAGATACCTTCTAGTTGTCTAAAAGTCTAAAAAATGATTTGAGTAGGAACGTTGGAGGCTCATACTGATAGCTGCAGAAACTCTGACTCTCTGCTTATGGTCCCTGATCCAATCAACCCTCTGTTAGCAGACGGGTTTTCTCACTTCCAGCCGCATGGTTCTGATGGACCCGACGCCATTACAACGGAAAATGCAGCAGAACATTAAATTACAGGCCGTGTTCAGCACTAAACAAGGGAGGTGCAACAGGCAGGTTGGTTAGCAAAGCTGGAAGGATCGACTGGACCAACCATATTATTATAAATCACAACTAGCAAATAACTAAGGTATATTAATCAAATATTAACAAAATAAATATTTTTTTTTAATATAGGATAAAGAATATTTTAATAATTTAATTAATTTGAAGCATTTATCCCAAGTTACTTTGACATTTGCTCAGATATCGTCCCAGGTGATGAACTTTTTGCTTTCCGTACCTGCTCCAGTCACAGTTGATTTCATAATAAATCTTCTGCTTGTGTGACATGTTTAGATTTTAGCACAAATATTATATAGTTGAGGCTCTACAGTAGGATTGTGATTTTATTGATCCCCACTGCTCCGCCTGCCTGATTCTGTTGGAGCGGCTAGAACAGGGTTCCTACAGCATAAGGCAAGTTAAATTCAAGACTTTTTAAGACTTTTTAATGCCACTTGAAATAAAAATTTAAGACCAAATTCACAAGAAACAAGAAAAACGCGCTTGCAACAACTTAACCCAAAGGTTTATTTTAACATAAACCACTGCACTAATGTTTCACATTTTGAAAAGCTTCCCATACAGGAAGAAAGCTAAAAACACACAAATGACAGATATATTTTAACAATTATTTAACTGAATTCACAAACTTTGTTTTAGCAGGGAACAAAACAAATCAGTTTTAAAGCCCCAACATAACCAGTGCTAAGTCTTTTTTGCTGCTATTTTTCTTTGTATGGTTTTCTTAGTATGTTTGATTTGGTGATAAGTGGAGGCGTTGCAGGGACAAGGGTGGAAAAAAACTGAGAAATAGCGGCTGTTTCTCTGTAACTCCATTTTGACGCTTTGTGTTTCGTGCTTCGCATGTGCGACTCCACTGCCTTAATTCCAATCGTTCTGAGCTTGAATGACTTCTTGCACTAAATCCACTGAGCCTCATGTATGTTCCCTGGTTTTAGCCATGGAGAAAACTCTTGGCTGGAGACAATTTTGGTTACATTTACACTTGCTCATATTTTCCAGACAAAAAGTTAATGGTGCATCTCCCAAATGTCCCGGCCGCAACAACGCTTTATTGATTCCGCTATCGGGACGGAACCAATAAATAGCGAGCCATTATTATTTTTTTAAATAAAAAAAAGGTAAATTTTAATGTTTTATTTAGATTACAAAAATAAATCATAATAAAAATAATCCTATTTATGATGTTTTAAAAACTAAGACCTACGAAAGACTGATTTAAGACATTTTAATACCAATTAAGGGCTTAGTTTTATTTTGAAGAATTCAATGCCTTTTAAGACTTTTTAAGGACCCGCGGGAACCCTGTAGAAAATCAGTTTAATGTTTCCTATTGGAACGGTCCTAATTAACGCTTCATCTGTTCAATTCAATTCAGCTCATTTCTATAGCTCCAATTCACAACACCTCATGTCAAGGCACTTTACAGTTCACCAGATCATCCAGTCAAATTGATTCAAAGTTTTGGATCTAATTTCACACCACAGGGATATTTTCTAAAAGATTGCTTGGCTTTTTTAGAGGAAGGCGGGTTGAACTGTGAACGAACAGTCTGGTAAAAAGCTCACATTTCTCTGGTGGAGTGATGGTGATGGTCTGTGCCGTGAACTCTTCATCAAAGTAGCGCGTGTCTGTCTCTGAGGAGACCTGCGGCTGGAAGGGCGGGACCAGCTGAAACAGAAAGGAAACGGCTGAAGAGTCATTTTGGCTTGAAGTGATGCTTCTGTGAAGGAAAATCTATCTATGGACTTTTTTCTTATTCATTACAGAGACTTATTGCGACTATTTGCATAAAAAAGGTTAAGAAATTCCTTTAAGCTTTTTTTTTTTAAATCATGATAATCATCAACCTGATGTACAGAACACTCAGAAAAAGATGAGTAAAGAAAATGCTTAAAAAAAAAAAGGAAAAGGATTAGATCATCTTGGTTCCTTTCACATCTATTTTAGTCTCCAGTCAGACTAATTTTGGGAAATAAGGTAACCGTAATTCCAAGAATAGCACTGAAGAATTTCATAAGCGCCTCTCAAGTTAAGATGACGTTCGGCGGATGAACGCTGCGCTCACCTTCTTGTCGTACACGTCCTGCCAATCGACTGTGCCGAAGAAGCTGTGCCTCATTATCTCCTTTGCGTCATCCGGCCCGCCGCCCAGCCTGTCAGCAAACAAGGAGAAGAAGAAAATCTCCACATCAGACATCAGATGTTTTCTTCTATCCACCGCTGGAACCTGCTGCTGATCCCAGAATAGCTTCAGGGTGAGCCGGTTCCTTTCTGTGGAGCTGCAGACGACATATTTTCTTCCTCTGGGACACAGAGGTCTCATGGATTATTACAGAACCACAGTTATAGAGTGAAGGTGGAAATGAATGGAAGCAGATCAACCCTGCTGGTTTCAGCTACACCAGAATTAACTGGGTAAAGCCTTTTTTTGCATCGGTAATTAAAACACAATGTCGGCAGTGTCTTCCCAGTGGGTTGTTGTGAGTGGGTACCGTTTGTTGGGGTCTTTGATCAGCAGCCCTGACAGCAGTGACTTGGCATCAGCAGACAGGGTCCGTGGGAACTTGATCTCTTCCATCAGGATGAGTTCAAACAGCTTCTCGTGGTCCTGGTTGTAGAACGGAAGTCGGCCGCACATCATCTCGTACGTCACTACACCCAAACCCCACCAGTCCACCGCTCGCCCGTAGTCATTGTCCTCCAGAACCTGATGGGAAAGAACTACGTTAACTCATAGATTAACTTGGGAGCCGTCTTCTAACCTGGAAACAAAGTCCAGTTGATTTTTTTTTTTTATTATTTGGAAAAACGTTGGAAAGAAATTCAGTATCAAAGTGGCAGATAAACATTTTTAAAGGGTGACACCATTTTCTGATGATGACTCTCCTCTCATAACCTGACTCCGCCAGATGGATTTGCTCCGCATATCCATCTGGAAACCTTCAGTTGAAGTAATTTTGGGAAGGGGCGAAAATACTGGTTAGCTGATTGGCCTAAGTTGGTGATAGACGGGCCAAATAAACCAATCAGATCAACAAAGCATATGACGTACTAACAGAGCGACGACGAAGAGGAGCCAACTGACAGATCGAACTCTTGCCGAAACCAGTCGGGAGAAGAGCAAAAACATCTTTTCCTCTGAGAAAAGCCTCCAGAGCAGTGTTTTGCTCTTCTTTCAGTGAAGAAATACTCTGTAATTCCCATAAAACTTGCTCGATAGCCACGCTAACGCTAGTTTCATCGGCTGAAGCCACCATGTTCTTTAGACTGAACTGTCGCGCTTCTCGTTGCGTCACACCTCAACCCGCCTCAAAGCCAACGCTGATTGGACGTTCGTTTGGTGAACGGCTCCAAATTTTCTTCAACGGAGAGTCTACAGACTGATCTGCGAGTGAAATCTTGAAAGCTCGGGAGATCAGGATGGTCTCACAAGGTTACTCCTCTCACGCATATTACTTGGTCTTTAATCTATATCTGATACCCATCATTCACAACGACTGAGGGGAAAGCTAATCCGATCTCTGCTTCTCTTTTTCCTATCTTAGCTAGCATTCAGAATCTCACATTTAACTTTCGCTTTAACTTTTCTTCTACATTATCCATTTGCTCCTGCTTTAAAGCAGTCAAAAGGCTCTAATCTTAGGGACGGAGGCCTAATGCTAGACACAAATCATAAAGGACTACTTGTCAAAAAAAAAACAGCAGATAAACAAAAAAAAACAGTCCTACAAAGAGTAGAAGTTATGCATCTTTTAAGTTTGTTTTCAAGGAATCAATAGTGGAGAAATCTACTGTTCTCCCAGTGTTGATAATCTATCTGCAATGATCAACAGTGAAATAATACTTGTGGAGAAATCACGGCGGATAAAGCGTTGCATTTCCCAATCCCCACAGGGAGGTGGGTAATGCACCGCTACTACTGAACTCTACTGAGATATTGGTTTTCCTTTCATGTGAGGGAAAGCCTTGAAAGATATGCTAGGACCAGGCAAGTTATGTTAGAGAAAATGAAATACAGAAGACCCAAAACCAGACATCTTTCATTACAACGTTACATTTTATAAGTAGCGAAAAGATGTTTGAATTCAAAATACGGCTTCTAAAATCCTACTTCTAATATACGACTCATTTATGGTAGCTTATAGGGCTGGTTATTCTCCCGCAGCAGTGTGTCGCAGTGAGCTTGTCGCAGATATTTTTGATTTATGCCCAATTTTGAAGCATGGTCTGTGCTACGTTATTCCACGCCACAACGCAAGAGGGACAATCGGGAACTAGCTGTGGGTCTGGATATGGCCGAGGCGGCGAGGAAGTGGGGGCCAGTTTGTGTGACAATGGAGGGACATGTAAAAAAAAAAAAAAACGGGGATCCAGGTGGAAAAAGGGTCCCAGCGTTCAGCGCACACCTTCGCTCTTCTAGCTGGTCCAACTTTACGAGTCGTTTTCCACAATGGCAGTCATACAAACAAAAAAAGCCGGTAAGGTACCAAACAGGAAATACACATGAGCAGATTTAGATTTGACCAATCAGAGGCCTCCTGTCTGCGGTCACCTACAATTTCGGAGAGGTGCACCTAATGCAGGGCACCACAAATCGGTTCTTTTATGGTACCGACCGAAATGCTTCGGTTCTACAGAGTATCGAAACATGCCTCGTCTTTCGGTGCCAAGTTTCGGGGATTGGCTGTAACACTTAACGTGATTGCGTCATCAGGGAAAAATACACAGGTGGTCACGCCTACAGCCAGGGTTCATGTGTATCTGTTGTGAACTGGTTGCGAACGTCGTGGAACCCCTTTAAAATGCCCCCCAGGTCAAAAGTGCGGCTTCACTTTATTAAGACTGATGCTAATAGTGCGCAATGCAATACATCGTGCACGGAAACAATTTAAGAGCAGAAAGTTGCTCTGTGTTTGACTGCAAGAAGAGCGGACCACAGCCGGCGTGACCATCCTCCTCTCAGCAGCGCGTGGGCGGAGCAAAGCCAGAGCGGAGTGAATAATGCTGCTTTCACACCGGACGCAACAAGAGCAGCAAAATCGCATCTGCTGCTTCCTTTTTGCTGCTTGTACCAGCTTCTGACGCGCGGCTGAAGCAGCTTTGCTGCTCTGGCTGCGCGGTCGAAAAGTGTGTCTGACGCGCGTTGGGCGGAGCTACTCTATCCTTTATTTCCCTTGCAGCTATATTTGCTGTGATCAGTGGGAATAAAGTAGTTTTATTATGTTTTTAAGTGGGAAAATCCACCTGAAAACTTAATCAGTGCAGTCAGTTCATCCTGATTATTATCCTGCCTTCCAATATTATTTCTGTGGGAGCCGCTCAGACCCCCACATACCAGCAGTGCGGTGTCAGTAGGATCCCATTCAACTGGCTTGTTTGTCTCCTGAGAAAGCAGACATGTTAATTTTTCTAAAGAAAAACTGCTAAATAAAAAGGTCCTCACAATGTAACAATGAATATTAGACACTGACTTGTTTGCAACTGTTCTTCTTTACTGAATTTTTTTTTTTATGTAAGAGGAAAAATGTAAATGGAAAAATCAGAGCTTAAAATAAAACTCAAGATTTGTACTTTATTATGTTGTGTAATTTTCTTTTTCTTCGAATTGATATTATAAAACTGGTATTGAAAAAAGTATTGTTCAGAAATCGGTATCAAAGTGAAAGTATCGGTATTGGTACCGGCACCGAAACGTTCTGAACGATACCCAGCCCTAGGTGCACCAGAGTGTCTGCGGAAGGGGCGGGGGCACATTTGCGTTCACTGCGACACACACGCTGACGACCAGGTTTCTGAGTATAAATCAACCTTAAAGTATCACTAACTCCTTCCACAAAAGCTGCTATGTACAGTATTCATGCATCTTTGGGAGCTCTGACCTCAGGAGCAAGGTACTCTGGTGTTCCACAAAAAGTCTTCATAGTTGCAGTGTCGGTAATCCCTTCTTTACACAGGCCAAAATCTGTGATTTTGATGTGGCCATCTTTGTCTAACATGAGGTTTTCCAGCTGATGGGCGAAGAGTAGAGAGAAAAAAAAGAAAACAAAAAAAACAATAAAGCTTTGTTTTTCCATCTCATTATATTTTCAGGCTGTTTGTTGATGATCACCTCACCTTGAGGTCACGGTAGACGATCTTGGCAGAATGAAGGTAGTCTAAAGCAGAAACGATCTCGGCACCATAAAAGCGGGTGCGGTCCTCCGAAAACACCCTCTCTCTCGACAAGTGGAAAAACAGCTGCCAAAAAATACGACAAAAAAAAAAAGACAAAAGTTTACACATTTAAAAAAATACGTTATAGGGGCCTGAACCGTTCAATCAGCCATCAGAGGATTCTGCGATCACGGAGAAATCCAAATACTTCTATACATAAAATGAAGTTTTCCTTCTATGTTTATCATGTTTATGTTTAGCTGTTGTGCAGAAATACTCCAAGGTTTCTTTGCTTAGTTGTTCAGATCAGTTTTTCTAGCAGCATTCGCACAAAAAAAGTAATTTAATGCGCAGATTTCATTCCATCTCTATTCTCGCACTCTGCAGAATCTGTTAGTTCAATCTCTAACGTTCTGCTCTCTCTGCTTTTTCTCATAGTAGCTTCATCTGGTCTGTTCCTGTTTGGCTGTGACTCCATCCTGGAGAGAAACATCAGCTGTGCTGCTGCCATCAACACCTTTGTTTATAGATGTTGGAGATCGGCCTGTTTTTTCAGTGTAGTCCTGTTTCTCTGACTGTGACTCGCAGATGTGCTCTCATCATCCTCTGACATGGGAGTTTGCTCAAAGCTTGTCTGCCTGGCTGTGTGTTTCCTGGGCAGGGCCGCCTTTTACAGCTGCTTTTTCTACCTCTGCTTCTGTCTTCTTGAACCCCAGTCGGCCTCAGCAGATGGCCGCTCACACTGAGCCTGGTTCTGGTGGAGGTTTCTTCCCATTAACAGGGATTTTTTTTCTCTCCACTGTCGCTACAAGCATACTTAGTGTGAGGGATTGCATTCGATTGGTTTACCTTAGATAGAAAACTTTGAATCAATTTGACTGTATGATCTGGTTGAACTGTAAAGTGCCTTGAGATGACATGTACTGTCAATTGGCGCTATATAAATAAACTGAATTGAATTAAATTATTCTAAGTCTTAATATCTATATAACCATAAATGGTCAACTCTTAAGGTTAATCATTAAATATCAGTATCAGACTATTTTCGTATTGTATTACATTATAGATCTAATTAAATCAAACAGGAGATTATATTAATGTAAAGGTCAGCTTAACACTTAGTAACAAGTCAGGTCAACTTTGGGCGGATATTACCCAGAATGCATTTCCAAACTTTGCTCATGTTTGGTTGTTTTAGCACGCATCTGCCTCCCAGTGGTGGATAACGCTCTCGACGGCATCAATAGAGATTCTGATGCCTCTATGTTAGGCGTCTGACCCTCAGACTCCACATTAAGCATTAGACTATACAGATAAATATGGAGGATAAAAAGTGCCAAAATTAAATAAATAAATACAGCATTAAATAAATAATTAAATGTGTCAATAATTAATTAAATGTGGAATTAAATAATTAAATTTGTCATTCATTAATTAAAACCACGTCACTAATATAAAGTGCCACAATTAAATAAATAAATACAGCGATAAACAATTAATTTAATGTGTAATTCATTAAATAAATAAGGAATTAAATATATAAATGTGTCATTAGTTTAATAAAATATGTCTTCATTTTATTAAAAAATATATATATAATTACTTCAGTGTGCATTTAATTATTTCATGGTCCTGTGTCGCAGTGCATCGAAACCATTAAAAGAATCTGTCAAACTCACCCATCAAAGTTATGGGGCGGTTATCTAACACCTGATTGGTCACCCTGCACATTAAGGCGAAGCAAATCGATTACAGAGACTGTGATCCACAGGTTGTGAACATACTCTGATACAGTAGGTGGCGACTCGATTCGCGTTAACCCCGCCCCCTAACATTTAATTAATTGTTTATCGCTGTATTTATTTATTTAATTGTGGCACTTTATATTAGTGACGTGGTTTTAATTAATTAATGACACATTTATTTATTTAATTTCACATTTAATTATTTATTTAATGCTGTATTTATTTATTTAATTTTGGCACTTTTTATCCTCCATAGGTAAATGCATAAAATTGGCAATGAGCCTCACAGCTCCCCAACAGCAGATTACCTCTCCTCCATTGACGTATTCCATTACAAAGCAAAGCCGATCCTTGGTTTGGAAGGAGTACTTTAAAGACTGTAAGACAGAAGACAACACGGTAAGTACATCTGAAACGAGTGCATCCTAAATGGTCATGGAGCAAAGTTTCTGAGGCATCTTCAATGTTAAACTGACTGAATTTATATGATACGTTTCCATTCAGGCACAGTGGCCTTCATGTTTCTATATTGAAGAAAAAAAAAATACAAATGTAAATTTAGCTATTTATTTAGCAGCTATAACTACTGCTCATTATCCTGACTACAGGTTAATCCATGTATCATTTGTTCAGTCGCTTTTTAAGCTGAAGCCAACAGTGAAGAGATAAGAGTTTCTTTCTTTAAATAATATAGAGGAATGGAAAAAAATTATTTTTTAACTTTTTCATATCACTACTTAATTGAACATGTTAAAAATGTATACTGAGCTGAAAGAGATTTACAGTTTTAATGTTGTTTTAGGCTCTGAGGTAAAAAAAACCCCCACAGGAGCCACATATGTAGCGCTCCACTAAAGAACATTCAAGCTCAGAACGTTTAACAGATTTAAACACAGAATGTTTTAAAGTTGTCAAAGAGGCTGAAATATGAGCTACACTGTTCAGAAGGTTCTGAAGAAGCAGCAGCTGTGATGTATAAGGCACGTCACAGATGCTTAACTTAAAGGAAAAGTCCGGTCATATTCAGGAATCAAACATCTGAAAGTACTTTAAATATGAAATTAACCATCCTGTTCAATAAATTATAAAAGTTTTTAATTCAGAGTAATTTTCCTTTGAATGTGCTTTACTAGAGGCATCCATATTCGTCAAAGAACACTACTGCCACCTACAGGTTTGTAACGTCTAGGGATGTAAATCACATCCATCATGGCGATTCGATTTAGTATCGATTTCCTGACCCAAAGATTCAATTATTTTCGATACTCAAGAATACACCACGATTCGATTATTTGGTTCATATTTTTTTACACCTTACAGGCTTGACAATGTTTCAAATTTGAAATAAATCAATGAAAGCTGTAATATCGTTATGCATTTTTTGAGAAAATACAGAAAATAACAGAAGTAGAAAAGTTGCACTCCACCTATTCCTATTAAAACCTAATTTCCTGAAAAATAATAATACCCCTGCGTTATAGATTCTGAAAGGCCTCGCATCAAAAAATACTGCACAAAATCAGTGCAATGAGTGCAATGCGATACCTCGGCTCCAGACGTCCCCCCCCTCCACAGACGCTCCGCTGCTCCTCTCCCAAATTGTAGCTGACTTCAAACAGCGCCGCAGACAGGAGGCCGTCTTGTTTTGTTTTTATGACCGAAATTGCGGAAAACAACTCGTGAAGTTTGACCCGCTAGAAGAATAAGGTGCGCGAGAACGCTGGGACCCTTTTTCCACCTGGATCTCAGCTCTTTTTGGCCCTCATGTCCCTCCGTCATCGGACTAAACTCGCCCCCACTTCCTCGCTGCCTCGGCCGTATCTAGACCCACAGCGTGTAGCACAGACCACGCTTCAATACTGAGCATGATTTAAAAATGTCTGTGTCAAGCTTACTGCAACACACTGCTGTAAGAGTATAACCAGGAAGCGAGGTAGGAGGGCAAAATAGGTTTAGCACCACCGCAGCACGGGAGGGAGAATTACGCCCAGGAGCAAATGGATAAAAATAGACTGGAGGGAAATAAAAACATGAATCGATTCTCTTGCGGACGTGTCGATGCATCGGATCGTCGGCTGTTGGATCGATGCATCGATACGAAACGATTATTATTTACACCCCTAGTGACATCACGGTGCGGTATCGGCTGTTGATCAAGTCCCAGTGCTGTATCTGGTGTTTGTCACAACACGCTATTATCCAAGTCATCTTGAAAACATTCTTCTTCCAAATTTTGGCTTCATATGTGTTTTTTTTTCTCTGTCCAAAAGTCTGTTTCATATATGTTTTTTTAGGTATAGATAATGATCCATTGATTTTTCCTCGCTGACCGGAGATTTCCTTTAAAAACTCAGTCACTAAAAAATTACATCAACAAAAAAACAAAACAAAACAACCACTTCATTGTCACCCTTCCTTGTCCCATACGCGTAAAATTGCTTCCTGTTTACATCAGAGCCTAAGGCTTAATTGGAAATAAATTCATATCCCCGTTATTTGACTTCAATTTAGAGGAAATTAGGATTTTAAAAGTCTGCTTTCTATTTAAAAAGTATTGAATGAATGATTCATTCTAGTCCTAATCAGTGCTTAGATTTAATCAGTTTGTTGGCCTCACAGGTCCTTCATAGGGAAAAGAACTGGAACGTGTCCTGGCTGCAGGTCTAAGGGTTCAGAAGGCGTCACGTGGCTTGAACCATAAAAACACATCCTCACCAGGTTGTTTCTGGATCCTTGGAAGAAGTTGCTCTTGGATGTTTTGATGCTATTCTTTCCTGGTACAGTCAGGAGCAGAGCTTTGAGAGAGGTTGAGCTTTGCTCAGGAACTGATCCCACTCAGACTGAACCAGGATGCCTCACTAAAAAAAACTACAGCAAACTCTCACATTTCAGTGTCTAAAGGATTTTTGAGATGTTTTTAGACAACCAGAACAAAGATCTGGGAAAATAAAAGCCCCAATTAACTGCTATCCGGCAGAATTTCAGTCTTTTCTGGTTTTTTTTTTGGAATATTCTGATGAGATGGAACCATAAAGCCTTTCAGATACCATTAACCCATTTAGGCCGGGAAAGCATTACCGCATTTCTACCATTCAAGCCGGGGGTGCTGTTGCGTCATTCTACCATTGACGCCGGGAGAGCATATAAGTCAAGCAAGAAGAAAGAAGTTTTTTTCAAGCAAACATGGAGGAGTTTGACAGAGAAGAGTTGTCGGAAGGCAGTGATTTTGAGGAGTGTGTCGGCTTTGATGACGGTATAGATGAAATGATGACTTTGAACGCGCTGAACCAATCGAACTACCACCGCAATGCACGGAGTGTTTTCAACCGCACACCTGGAGTGAAAGTTGATTTGCCTGCAGACGCCACACCGCTGCAGGCATTTGAGCATATTTTTAATGAAGAACTTTGGATGCATCTAGTTACCGAGACGAATAGGTACAGTGACCAAACAAACCAAACTCCAACAAGAGCAAAGATGGCAAAGTGGTCACCCGTGACTGTGACGGAGATGAAGACATTTATTGGGCTGTGTATGTAAACCTCTCTTCAGGACGCAGTTCCCCCAAAATATGTCCCGGGACAGATTTGTGGCCATCTGGAGGTAGGTTGTATGCAATTTATAACACAGACATATGCATTATTATGCATAATAATACTGTTAATAAGTAATCATCAGATAGTTATTTATGTAATGTTTGTTCTTTATTTTGAAAACGTTTTATATTGCACATTCTCAATGAAGACATGATCACATATGGAAAAAATAAAAGGTTGAATTTTTTTTTTTTTGATTACTGCTTTTCACATTTTTTTTTGGAAGAATTTCAAAGATAAAATATATTTTGAGTTCTATCTGCTACAGAAGCTGAGATATCAATAATTAAGGCGTTGACACAGTTGCTGAATTTACAGAAAAACTTCAGGTTTTAGGGGTATTTTTTAAAATCGGCCATAGGTTTTTAAGGTGTTTTTTCCAGGCGTTTTAGGCCTAAATGGGTTAAGGCTCCACAACTATGAAAGTAAATTTTCCTTCTGAGCTTCTTTGATCCAAACTTAATAAATCCAGATTTATCCGTTGAATATTTGCGGAAATACTTACCGTTAGGAACGGATGTCTAGTGTTTTTCAATACTCTACTTTCTGTGAGCGTGTGAGCGACTTCATCCTGTGATGAGACAGGTTAGAAAGAAGTAATTAGTCACTAAATAATATTCACTCTATAAAACTGGTCATTAATGAGCTAAATTCACAATCAAAAAGAATCTGAAAGGTCACTTTAAGAAGCGTTAGGCGATACTTGATGTGTCCAAGAATAAATAAGTGTTTCTGATGATGATGAGACCTTGGCTATAATGACTTCCTTCTTCAGGATCTTCATGGCATAGTAGGTGCCACTCGCCTTCTCCCTCACCAGAATGACTTTCCCAAACGTGCCTTTACCCAGAAGCTTCAGATAGTCAAAGTCATTCATTGTCTGGACAGAACACAAGAGAGAAGCTTGGACATGAAGATAAAACAATGATGCGAGTTTCTGTACATTCACCAACAGAACCAGTCAGACCACACAGACAGGTTGGACGGTTCTGATCGACGTAAAGCCTGCGGACCTTTCGTTTGTAGTGGCTGATGGAGGTGTCCATCTCCTCCTCGTTAACGTTCTCGATCTGGGAAGTGGGGCTGCACAGGATGCCTTCCTCCTCCTGCTTAGCCAGTGACTCTGCTACCATCTGGATGGCCTCCGCCCACTCGTCCCTAGTGGGGGCAGAAAAGGGTTTCAAATGAATTAGGGATTTAAACAAATAATTGACTTAGGATTAAGTGCTAATTAATGGTTTGTCAAGTTTAAAATTCTTTATCCAATTAATCGATAGGAATTTCTTTCAGGGTTGTAATGTTACCACTGTCCATTAGAGCAGTGGTCCCCAACCACCGGGCCGCGGACCGGTACCGGGCCGCACAGAAAAAAGTGTATATATATATATTAGTGATGGGACGATTTATGAAAACCGTCCGAACCGTTCGGTTCGACTGTCTCGGTTTGATTCACGTGTGTTTCATTCGGTTCATGCGCTGCTCCTTTTTCTCATGGCGAAGCGTTTACACTCCAGAGCAGAAGGTGGCGGTACTGCGACCAAAGCCAACCACCAGTAGTAAACAAGAAGAAGAAGAAGCAAAGCAGCGTAGCCGGGTGTAGCAGGGGGAAAAAAAAATCAGTTGTTGTGGAGAATTGTGTGGGTATGGCGAGTGGGAAAGAACAGGAGTTGGAAGACGCGCCAGCAGCACTTTATAGGTCTGCTGTATGGGACCACTTTGCATTTAGAGTGACCTACGATGACGGCGGGAAGAAAGTTGTGGATAAAAGTGCAACAGTGTGCAAGCATTGTGCAACACGTTTTGTTTATGCTAACAGCAACATGACCAACATGTCAGGCTAACCCCGAAATCCCATATAATCCGTGAGCGCTCCGCCCCACTGCGCTCCAGACCGGCTGCTCAAAGCAAAGCCTACAGCCTCCTCTGTGGCTCCTTCTTGGAGATCGGAGAGGGCATGCGATTTGAGATGATTAAATTCAAAGCAGCAAAACATGCGGAAATGATCCAGGGTTTCCGCGGATCATAAAAAATATTTACAATTAATTAATTTTTGGGGATTTTTTTCATTAATTTCATTAATTTTTATGGGATTTCGGTGTAACAATCAACATATACCGAACCGAAAACCGTGACCACGAAATCGTGAACCGAACCAAACCGTTTTGTGAACCGTTCCACCCCTAATGTCCATAGTGTCCTAACCCTTAGGGCAGCCATACACTTTTACAATGTTTTCCATCGTTGTACTCATCTACAGCTCAATCTGTACAATTTAACCGCAGGGTTTAAAAATTCACACCTCACAGTGTATGTTCTTAAACTCTACGGCCCGATGCTCCGATGCAATCTACCTGCTCACACTGTACGTCCAAAAACCACGTGCGTGGTGGTTCAAACCCAGCGCCGAGAAATACCGCTAGTCGGACTCATCAATCTGGAAGAAGAAAAACTCACTTGTTTGCACATCCGCAGAGGTTCTGGTATATGGGCTCGTAGTTCTGCTTCTACAGCAGGATTCTCTCATGAACACCTTACGAGGGACGACTGATTTCAAACATATTTGATTTTCTCCTGACCTTGCGATTTCATGATCAGGAGGTGGTCGTGCGAGGATAATCTCCATCGCTACCACCTGTATACTACACAACGCAGGACACTATATAAGGCATAAATTGGCCCAATCCAAAAAAACTTGTTGTGCATGAGTAGAGAAGAGGCCCAAAAAGCGCAAAAAAAAAAAAAAAAAAAAAAAAAAAAAGGTTCACTGTATGATAAACTTAAAGATAATCAGCTAACTGAGTTGTCTGATCTTTCTCACATATTTTCTTGATCTGTGAAAACATATTTAAAGTGATATTTCCCCGGAAAGCCAAATTAATTAAGCAGTGCTTTGCTTGTCTGTTTTATAATCAAAGAAGTACATTTCAAGGTTGAAACTGGTACCAAAAAGAATGAAACATAGAAGCACTTGATTCTGGCATTTTGGTTTGGTAGCCTCCAGCTAACAGCAACAAAATATTAAAATCAGAAAAAGCCATTTGTTGGATATAAAGGCAAGTTTTGTGCTTTAATAAAATGGCTGAAGGACTCAAAGGGGCTGAACACAAGAGTCCCTTTCTGTCAACAAAACCAGCAAGGTTCTGTCTGGAGGGCAAGACGAAGGCTAACCTCTCATCAGGAGTGTCGACATGAAAGGTCCTCTCGATGACGGTGGTCCACTGCAGACAGCGGATGATGAATGTGTTTGGTTTGGGTCGTTCTGTCTTCATCAGCTGACATTCTGAAAACAAAATATATTTAACTACATATATCTGACTATGTAGAGGCTGAAGGGTGGGATGCTCTACTCATGCCTTACTTGCTACAGAGAAGTTGTTGAGTGGATAGGCCAGGTCCGAGTCCTGGGGTTTGTCCTTGTATCCAATGAAGGAGCCGTCCGTCTTGAGCAGAAAGTAACGTGGTCGCCAGTTCTTGATGTATTCGCCTGCAGGGAGAAGCAAACAGAGCAAAAAGTTACCTTCTTATATTACCACATAATGTCATCTATCCATCCATCCATTTTCTCCCGCTTAGTCCTTGTCAGGATAACGGCGGGGCCGGTGCCAATCTCTGGCAGTCTACGGGTGAGAGACACCCTGGACAGGTCGGCAGTCGGGCACAGGGAAACCGAGACAGACAACAATAACCATACCCAATCACACCTAAGGAGAATTTAAAGAAGCCAATAAACCTAATAGTCATGTTTTGGACAGTGAGAGGAAGCCAGGAGTACCCAGAGAAAACCCATGCATGCAGGGGACTCCGGGCGAGGAATCGAACCCAGAACCTTCTTGCTGCAAGGCAACAAGTCAATAAAATGATTTTGTGAGAATCTAGAAAACTCACAAAAGGTTTTTCCTACATGTTCCCAATGCTTCTAAATGTTGTAATGTCCACCACCACCAGAAAAAAAGGTACCAGAACCAATCAGGTGGTAATCTTCTCCATAAAAAAAAAGTTACAAGTTACTTGGACTTTGTTTCCAAGTGTGAAGACGTTTCGTTTCCCATCCAGGAAGCTTTTTCAATACAAAGTGTCAGAAATATCTTTGAGGTCAAGGCTTTACAGAGTGGACCAAAAAAAAAACAAAACAAACAAACCTTGTTTTGGCTTAGAAAACATGCAAAGTGAAGCGGATAAAGGGGTCCGCCCCTTAGGAATGGGGGTCGTTTGGTTTCTTAGTGAGGCTGTAATAACCGATACCTGTCTATGTCTCTGAAAGAGGGTCATTAGAAGGAATTGTTGGCCTGGCTGAAATAGGCGAGGTGTTTTGGTCCCCTCTATGCATGTTTTCTAAGCCAAAACAAGCCTCAAACTCAACTGACACCGAATTGAAAAAACTTCCTGGATGGGAAGAGAAACGTCTTCAAACTTGGAAACAAAGATGAGTGGATTGTTTTTTTCTTTTAACTTTTTTGGAATGACTATGACCTGGATGACTGAAAAGATTTCCATACAGGAAGAAAGCTAAAAACACACAAATGACAGATATATTTTAACAATTATTTAACTGAATTAACAAACTTTGTTTTAGCAGGGAACAAAACAAATCAGTTTTAAAGCCCCAACATAACCAGTGCTAAGTCTTTTTTGCAGCTATTTTTCTTTGCATCGTTTTCTCAGTATGTTTGATTTGGTGATAAGTGGAGGCGTTGCAGAGACAAGGGTCGAACCAAACTGAGAAATACCGGCTGTTTCTCTGTAACTCCATTTTGACGCTTTGTGTTTCGCGTTTCGCATGTGCGACTCCACTGCCTTAAATCCCATCGTTCTGAGCTTGAATCGCTTCTTGCACTAAATCCACTGAGCCTCATGTATGTTCCCTGGTTTTAGCCATGGAGAAAACTCTTGGCTGGAGACAATTTTGGTTACATTTACACTTGCTCATATTTTCCAGACAAAAAGTTAATGGCGCATCTCCCAAATGTCCCGGCCACAACAATGCTTTTATTGGTTCCGCTATCGGGACGGAACGGAACCTGTTATTTTTTATTTTTTTATATAAAAAAAAAAAAAAATTGTCAATTTTAATGTTTTATTTAGATTAACGTACAAAAATAAATCGTAATAAAAATCATCCTATTTATGTTTTAAAAATTAAGACCTACGAAAGACTGATTTAAGACATTTTAATACCAATTAAGGCCTTAGTTTTATTTTAAAGAATTCAATGCATTTTAAGACTTTTTAAGGACCCGCGGGAACCCTGTGATATCACCACGCTTTGACTGCTAAAAAATTAGCGTTGCAATCAATGTTTATTTAGCTCAGTGGTTCCCAAAGATTTTCTTCTGGGCCCCCCTTTGGATTACAATAAAATGTCCACGCCCCCCCATAACCCCCCGACCCCCCAAAAAAAAAAAAAAAAGAATCAACTGGGCACACACATCGTTCAACCACATATAATAAATCTATACACATATTTTGTTTTCAAACTCCACTGAAGTTTATTTCACACTTCAGGTTGCAACAAAACAACTACACACCATCTTTACAGTGGAACACTTTTGTGTAACTGTATTTTTTCATAGTTCTATACTGTAGATTAGAAGAGGATTCTTTGTTGTCTGTGTTATTTTAAACATATTTCTTTTTTTTTATTTATAACAATATTTAACTTTGCTATAATCTATACATTAAAAAAGCCTCTGTGCAAAATGGAGTGAAAACATTGAGAGTTTTTTCCTTTGTACTTTAATCCTCCCAGCTTTTCAGTGGCTGTAGTGAGCCTGCTTGTTGCTGCAGATCTTCTCAAATCTGGGCTGCAGTGTCACAACTGTCCATTATGCTCAGTCAAGCAAGCACTGTTTTTTTTTTTCTTTTTTTTTTTTTCTTCACTCATACCGCTTCCCGCGCCCCCCCCTGCAATGGCATTGCGCCCCCCCTAGGGGGCCCGCCCCACACTTTGGGAACCACTGATTTAGCTAATTGTTTAATCCTTCTCTTAAAAAATAAAAAAATTAAAAATGATTAATTGCTAATCAGATGACAAAATGTACATTAATAAATATTTTCTCCAGAATTTCAACCAAGTGAAGCTAAAACTAGATGACTTGAGGTATCGCGTTTGGTGCATATCCACAGACAAAAAAGGAAAATGTTTTTACATCGTTTTATGTAATTACTGCTATTAGTGGGTTGCTCTTTCAGCTAATGACATTCTGTGTACTCCAGCTAATGATTAGCTGATTGCTAAATTAGTTGACGATAATCGATTCTTCGCAATCTACCTCATTAACTGTTTCAGCCTGGCTTTAAATATTAACATCCCGGCTCTCTATGCCTATTATATATTTGTTTAATGCAGCATAAACAAGTTTTTTTGGTTTTAAAAAGGTGCTAAGGTAGCAAAGTGATTAAAACACTGGGAAGTTAAGTAAAAGAGAAACAAAACTTGGAAGTTGACTCCAAAATAATTTATCTTATTCATATTAATTGATGGATAGATTTAATAGATATTAATTATCTCTTAATTGTATCACTTTAAAAACACACAGGTCTTAATTCACATGGTTTGCTGATACGTAGCAGTCAACCATCCTGACAACTAAAGCTGAACCAGACTTGTTGCTGTACCTACCCTAACAAGCCCCCCTACTAGTGCTGTAAAGTTGGTGTTAAAGCAGTGGGCATCTAATGTACCTTTCACAGGAGATGAGAGACTTTGCCTTCAGGGGAAGCTGAGCGAAGCTGTAATGAGGTTCAAGTTAGTTTAGGAGGCCAGAACAGCAGCCAGCTGCAATGTGGGATTTACAGCTCAGATTAATAGGCCACATAGGCTTTAAGCCTTATACGTAAAACATACTGAATAATCATAGTTCACTGACGTTAGTGATCTGTATGAGGATAAGAAAACAGTATCTGAACAACTGGGGCAAGGTCTGAACAGCAAGAATCGAGATTAACCGAAGGAAAAGATGGAGCCAATCGCTGTAGATTTATTTAACATCTTTTAATGTGAAAAACAGCAGTTAATTAATACGGCCCTTCCTCTAGATCTCATTTATGCCCTAGCATACGGAGTCAGTTGAAAAGAAAAGTATTTTCTTCAAGCAAACCTGCAGCCCTGAGTGCAGCATGTTTTTTTTTTTAACTCTGCGTTTTGCTGACTGCAAAACCAGTTTAACTTAATATTATGAAAAAGATGGCCTTCAAGGTTATTACATGTCGGATCCTAAATTCTAATTATATTTGACTTAATTGGTCATTTGTGTCACATTTTATCTGTTTACGACAGTTTTATTCAGCAGTATTTTAAATCCCTTCACAAGCATTTCAGATTTCTGGTTTAGCAGCCAAAGAAAAACAAATCTTCAAAAATATAAAAAGTGTTGTTAGCTTTTATGAACAACACCCAGACTAAAGATTTGATTTTTAAATCTTTTAATTAATCAAAAGTTCACATTTTTGACAGGTGTTGAGTCTAAACCATAAAGACACACAGAGGTGCAAAACACAATTGAGGGACTTGTGGGGCCCGAGCGGAAGGAACTTAAGTATTAGGTCATCCTCTTATAGCGCCACAGAGAAACTTCCTCCTGCTTCACGCCAACAGCTCAGATCCAAAATAATAATGAAGAAAAAAAACACACACACTTCCAATGAATGAACTGCAAAGGACACAGAAACACACAGAGCGGTGTGGGAAATAAATGCAGCCTGGAGCCTTTGCCTTCTGTGCCTCTGGCAGGTAAACAGCCATTGTTCAGAGGTGCTGGTCTTTATGCTGAGAGCAGCTGAGCCCAAGTCCACCGTAAGGCGGATAGAAAACATCTTTCATGACAGAAGCTGATGTTTTTAAAAACAAAACAAAAACAGTCGTGTTTTTGTCCTTTCCAACACGCCTTGGATAGAAAGAAAACACTTCAGCAGGACAATCATACCCTGGGTGGCTTTCAGAGAAACATTCTGAGCTCTAGCAGAGTTCATGTACCGTTTCTGGTCCAAATGATGCAGATAGAATAAAGGGCAGCCTTCTCGCTCACAGGCTACGAACACCGAGTGAGAAAATAAAGGTCATTTCATCAAGACGGAAAAAAGTTGTGTTGGATATCAACAACTTTAGATGCTGACATTTTGACTCTTGGTAACGGTCATTAAAAAAGGAGAATTTCAGCATAGAAGTTTAGTAGATAATTACTTAGAAAACTCAAATTTCTTCAGTTAAGGTTTAGAAACGAATCCATTTAAAGCACTTATTGAATGCAGTCTTGCTAATGAAATTTAAGTGGAGAATAACTTAATTTCAATATTCATTCCAGATAACTGGAAAACACAATGCTAATCAGCTTAAGAGAGAAGAAGCATCAATTAAGTCCTCTGCCAGAGCCTGTTACGCAGTCTTTGAATTTCTATTTTACCTCCAGGACCTTTCTTTCTACTGTAGATTTCACTGAACTACATGCAGACAAGTTTATTTGAGGGTAAGGGCTCCTCTAGTTTAGT